ACGAAAGTAGAATAAATGCTGTAGAAATGCGGTCTTTAAGGAATATGTTAGGGTTGAATCTGAATGACAGGGTGAGAAATTGCGTGATAAGAGATATATGTGGTATGCAAGATGATGTTGTGACCAGGATTAGGAAAAGAATGCTTCGGTGGTTTGGTCATGTACAAAGAATGAATGAGGAAAGAGTGACAAAGCAAATTTATGTGGCAGATGTGAACGGCAGAGTCGGGAAGGGACGCCCTAGAAAAAATTTTATCGACCAAATTGGCGATATTTTGAAAATGGGCCACGTTAGAAGTACCCTTAACCGACGAGCATGTATGCGTAGATATATGGATGTAAAGGAGGCGAAAGAGGTATGTCAGGATCGTGCCAAATGGAAGTCCGTAGTCTCTGTGAGTGTTTATGTTTTATTTTTATAAATAGAGGGCTCGGACCACTCCCAAAAATTAAATATTTTCTTTAATTATTGGTTACTCTTTTATTATTACCCATTATAATCTTCACGCAGACGCCTCGCGTACATCATGATCAAGTATAAAGGTGGGCGACATTTAATAATGCGTTTAGCATATAACTTGATGTTATATCTTATGCACTTTTTATCCCTTCCAAATTATTAATATCATTATTATTATGTAGCCTTATGTTTAATGAGGAGTAATAAAGGAATATTGTAACGAAATAGTCGATGCAATTGGTCCAGTCGCCACATAACGACCCTGCCATGCGACGCACGTGCAATATCTATCGCTCAGAAAAATGAGGAAAAAACACAATAATACAATAAATTAATAAAATAAAAATATTATAACATTAAAATTTAAAAAAAGAATGTTATAGAGGAGAACATAAAAAAGAATGTGGATAACATATTATTCAACCTATGATGAACTAGAATTTTTGTATAGTGTGCAATAAATAACATTAAATAAATAAATAAAAACTATGGAAGTGGCAGAATTATGACATACGACTCTTAACATACGACTTAATATACGACTTATAATTATAAAGAAGCATATTAATTAAATAAACTACTGGTTAAGTTTCCTTCCTCATTCCTTTCATCATTTTTGAGCTACAGAAAAATTAGATGCATTTAAAAATTCCATTTGAGGCTGTCTGGATGAACAGAAGCCAGGGAGCAACGAGAGCAGTCGCTGCCATCAGTTCCAGCGTACTCTAATGTTCCAGAGAGGTTTCCGGAACTTAAGATGAAGATGTTAAAAAGAAGGAAATTAAAAATGCTAAACCAAGATAAAACTACGATTATTGAATGAAATCAATGTCGCTGTGATGTGAAGGTATAAAAGTTATAGCAGTATTTAAATGTATAGGATAGGTATCATTATAAATACTATTCAATCCCACAAAAGCTTTTTGATTGCAATATCTATGCTTTTGATATATTGCAATTGATAAAAAATATTTCAAATTGTAATAGCTTAAAAATTATCTAAAATTGGTGGAATATGGGTAGATAATACTTACAAAATATTAAAAATAAAAACACAAACAAAATTTGCAAAATTGTATCTGAAAAATAAATGATTAATTATTAAGGTTATATTTTAAGTATTCATATAGTTCATTCCCATTGATTGGAATATATATACATTGGAATTTAATACAAAAAGATTACGCAATTATTAACAAAATATTGAGAAAAATAATATATAGGTTAAAGTTGTGACATAGGTAGTAAAAATTATCGGAGGTTAGCATAACCACATACAGTCTGATCAGCTTAGAGTTTGGAATACTTAATAACATATTATTTTTAAGGTTATTCGGATGCAATCAAATGCGGATTGAGCTTATGCATTGTTAAACACCAACTGAACATATAATTGTTATAGTTGTTTAGTTTAGCGGAAAAATCAAATAAAATAAAAATTTTAAACAAAAATTTCAACTCATGTATAAAATATCTATATATTATCATATTAAGTATATTAATATGTCAAGCAGAAGTTTACACGGCTATTTATAAAGTAATACAAGTGTTGTTCATAAATAAAGTGTGCAAAAATATGATCTCGAATCATTGTATTAAAAATATTCTCAAATAATTCTAAATAACAGATTGAATTTAATACTGAATCTCATATAGCAAGACATATCTGTACCACCAACATTAATTAAAATTTAAAGAAAATTATTTTACATCAGATGTTAAATTTTTTAATGTAAATAAATTGCTTCATATAAATTAATTTAGTTTTACAAGGTTTCGCTCGACAACCGATGCCAGATTTCATCTTATAAAAACATATTTTTGTCCATGGGATAATTTAGAGGATACTTTGGGTATATTTTGTGACCTTTCTAAGGCCTTCCACTGTGTTTAGTGGTTTAACTGTGTTCACCATGAGACATTAATCAGGAAGCTACAGTACTATAGTGTTAAGAACACAGCGCTTAAATTTATTATTTCATATTTAAGTTATCAAAATGCAGAAAGTTATTATCAATGGTAAAAGGTCTTACGTGTCGCCCATACAGATTTTAAGAGTTTATTAATGACTAAACTAATATTATTATTTGCTGATAACACTTCCTTAACTTTTGAACTTAAATGTCAATTATTTAAATATGACGAAGTGAATAATGCCATATCAAAATGAGTGCATTGTTCTAGCGTTAATAATACTCGTAATCTACATTTAAATGGAAATAAGTTTTTATAGGATAGGGTAACAAAGGAGCACACAGTCCATCTGATGGTAAGTGGTTGTTGCGGCCCATAAACATCTACATCTTTCCTCGATTACAAATCAAAATGCAGATGCGTGTCACCCGTGAGGACTAGATGGAATGCCTCGTTTCCGATTAAAAAGGTTTCTGTTTCTCTACACTCGCCATACGAAACACAGCAGCATGAAGCTACTATTTTACGCTGGTATTATGTGAGAGCCTGGTCCTGCCCCGGTCGAGCCGACCCATTCATGCTACAACTATAATATAGCTGCAGCGTGGGTCTACAACGTAAAAATTACACGGTTGATAATAACCCCTGAGAAGGCCCTGACCCCTGAAAGTAGTCGCCTCTAAATAGTTTGCTATAAAAAAGCTGTAAATAGTTTGTAACCATTCAAATTGTTAAATTTATTCTTAAAAAAATCCGCTGGTTTTCTTGCTGGTTCTTCCCAGCACAAAGGATTTTTTACTTTACTACTGGATCGGATAAAACCGAACCAGTGGTGAAGTAAAAAATGACTTCCAATAAAAATTACATGTGATCTATATTGAATAAAAAAAGGAAAAAAAATACTAGCAAAGTCCATACAATCGGATACATTTGTGGCGACGCTGTCGTAGCGCCACAAAGGAAACACATCGAAACTTAAATCTCGCTATCAAAGTTCCGATGTAAAATAATATATATAAAATAGCTCCGAACTATCACTCTACCCTCTTTTCTCCAAAGGGGTCGCTTCCGATACGACAAAAAGACCTTACCAGGTAAAAGCCAGTGTCAGGTGGTGTTAAGTGGGTAGGCACTGAGGTTTCTCAGTGAGTTCCACATAACCACGCAGCCGGATGCGTTCATTCACCACCTCCATCCCCAATTCCCGGAGGATAGTTCTTTACTTTTGCTTCTGGGTACAAAATAAAAGAAACTACCACTCTTAGCATTGGCCGATCCCCGGGCAGAACACCTTGCCCGGCGGGAGATCTCCCCTTTTTCATAAAGGCTGCAATGGTGACCACCCGACATGATGTAAACACGCAACCAACACGTTCCAGCATTTTATGGAGGAAATTCTAAGAGGTTGTAATTTTTCATTTCCTTACCTGGATGACATTTTAGTAGCATCTATAAATATAGAAGATCACGAGAGACATTTACGATCTATCTTCGAGCGCCTCAAAGAATATGGAATGCTAATCAATAGCGCAATATCAATATTTGGTGAAGTTCTTGAGCTTTACTGTATCCGCCAAAGGAATGAATCCAACACCAGATAAGGTCAGTGCCATTACGAATTATCCATTTCCGAAGAACATAAGAAAACTCCGCAGATATCTCGGCATGTTGAATTTCTACCGCCGCCGCTTTGTACCGAATGCATCAAGAGTGTAGGCACCATTAAATAGCTTCCTGACATCTTTGAAGGCCTCTAAATTAATAAATTGGACAACCGAGCTAGAAAAATCTATTGAGGAAAGTATACTTAAAGAGACTGTGTTAGCACACCCTGATCCACGAGTACGCTTAGCCATCGTCAATGATGCCTCTGTCAGTGTTATAGGTCCTGTTAACTGTACCAATTCTGTCGTTCGTGCGACTTAACGCCTCTCGGCTACTTTTCATGGGGCTAAGTTAAGTCATTGGTTTATGCCGACAGACCAGCAACTCTTGAAACATTGGAAGCCAATATTCAAGCCTCCATTGACGCTATACGGCATGTATTGGAAAAAGTGGTAGAAAATTGGACTGACGATTTACTGGTATGTACTATACTTCAAAATATACCAACGAAATTTACGATGAAATGCAGATACTTTAATTGCGTCTCAAAACGACGTATTTAGCAGTCTGTCACGTAAATTCAGAAATGGTAAACCGATTTTTATCTCTTTCTTTCATATATGAAGTTATTGTCTAGTAATTTTTATCCCATTTTATATGCTATGGAATGTTTTATCCCATTTTATATGCATCTTTATTTTGATGTAAGCTATTTTTTTATTCTATTCTATTCCTATTTTTGAAATCATCTTTACAACAATTTTAAAACAAATACAAAATGGGCAAGAGTTCTAGTACAGCGATAAGTATTGCAAGTTCCTGTCGATTAAAGATCTTGGAAGATTAAGCGGCGTAAATTAAATTTGGGAAGTGAAACGTTTTTCATGTATTAAGAAAAATTATATTTAATAAGTATGTTCAAGTCACGACTGCGAGCGATTCTAACAATAGCACCGTTATCACTGACTAAGGATGTATTGACACGCAGTGAGCACGCAGCGTACACGTAGTGGGCATGCAGCTAGCGCCGCCGTGAATACTGCAGGCCGAGCTCCTCGACGACTTCTTGTATGGCAGCGAGGCACGTGTCCAGCTGCTCTCGACTGTGCGCCGCTGACAGGCAGAACCTGAAAAAACCACACAGTGTTTTAAACGCTCAAGTTTGCACAACAACAAACACCAAACATCAAGATAGTTAAGTTTTGGTAGCCGTGCTGAAGCTTTTCAAAAACAAAAATATGTCTCGATGATATTTATTAACTACTAGCTAGTACCCGGCGCGTTGCTGCCTCAGAAGAAATATTTGCGACAATATCATTTTAAATTTGAAACAATTATATGGTTTAATTAGTAATGATAATACATTCATTGAAATTGAATGATATTTAATTTAAAAAAAACTTCTCCGTATGACACGTGCACTACCTACTGTAAGTTAATTTTACTATGTTTATAACTATGCTTATAACACATAAGTGTAAGCAAAAAGTTGACAAAGTTTTACCGCAATCTGATGAACGGTATGGCTGCGCATAAAATACGAACAAACAAATATTAATTTTTATGTATCAGATTTACTTACTTACTTATCTTCACGCACAATCCCTAACGGGGTAGCCAGAGAGAACAGATCGCCAAGTGTCACGATCCTTACATACCTCTTTCGCTTCTTTCAGGTTCATTAACTTCTTCATACATGCACGTCTAGGTATCCGAGTACTCTTGACCTTCCCCTTTTCGAGTAATTTGCTCACATGGTTTTCGAAAGTTAGTCACATGGTTGTCGGTCTACCTCGACACCTTTTAATATTTACTTTCGCGCTATATATTTTCTTCACCATTCGGTCTTCACTCATTCGCTCAACGTGCCCAAACCATCGGAGTACGCCCCTATCAATTTTATTCATATCATATCAGATTTAATTTCAATAATGAATTCAAAACTAATTCAGTTAAATATCAAGTGTATTCATATATTAACACTGACTGTATCAATAACTAAGTTATATATTTAATTAGGTGATTACATTACTACAAATAGGACTTTAATTAATATAAAAAATGCAACTACTTTTATAATACCTAAGGTGGGGGGGGGGGGGGGGGCAATTATCAGCAGTGAACTTTTGTAGGTTGTAAGGGAATAGCGATTTTCATAGCTCGGAATTTTATCTCTGACTTAATTATGAGAATATCTGCAGCCTAACCTACGACTTACAGCTTGTTGGGAGCACTATGCTCGAAGTTGTTGACGAGTACATTTACCTGGGACAAATAGTCCGACTAGGTAAGTCCAACTTCGACCGAGAGGTCAATCGACGGATTCAACTCGGCTGGGCAGCGTTCGGGAAATTACGACATATCTTCTCGTCAGGTCAGGTATCTCTAAAAACTAGATTCTACAACCAGTGAGTGTTGCCAGAGATGAATTACGGATCTGAGACGTGGTCCTTCACTGCTGGCCGTATGAGGACGCTCAAGGTCGCTCAGCGAGCTGTGGAGAGGGCTATGCTCAGAGTTTCTCTGCGTGATAAACTCAGAAATGAGGATATCCGTAGTAAAACCAGAGAGACCGACATAGCCCAACGGATTAGTAAGCTGAAGTGGCAATGGGCCGGCCATATAGCTCGAAGAACCGATAACCGATGGGGAAGAAAGGTTCTCGAGTGGCAGCCTCGTACCGGTATGCGTAGTGTAGGGTGACCCCCCCCTAGAGGGAGTGACGCCCTGGGAAGATATGCAGGCAGTCGATGGATGCAGGTGGCTCAGGACCGTGCTTTGTGGCATTACTTGGGGGAAGCCTATGTTCAGCAGTGGACTTGTGAAGGGCTGTAATGATGATGATGATGATGAACCTACGACGCCTACTAGGTCAGTAAGCCGAAGTGAAAATACAGGGCACTAGTTGGAATGACGACGTATAGTATGGTTGCAGATAGCTTATGTCTGTCCTCTGTAGCATTCCTTGATATGCTATTCTGATATGATAGGTCCTATGTTCACCATGGTGATGATGATTTCTTTGATATACACGAAAATTAAAAACTCACTTGTCGCACCGGACTGGATATAAACTTAAAATGTATTTTTTATATTATTTACTATGTAATTATAATAAGAAAGATTAATCGATAAATATTTAATATAAAAAACTGTTCATAATCACCCTGATCATGGCGTGTGGCGAAACCGGTTTTTATAGTCATTAAATTAATATCTTAATATTATATTATTTATATATTTTAATATAGAAAAACGTAAAAGTCCATATCACATTTTTTTATAATTAATCATTTTCAAACTTTGTGAATGTTTTTCCCTCCACTGACACAGGTAAACTGGTGCGAAATTGGGAATGAGTGAGCGACTGCAGTGTTGGGGCTTGGGGATGTATTGAAATGTTTATTAAATTACCAAACGGTTTTGTGATCCGTTCCGTGAATCAAGAACTAGTGAACAATTTTTCTTCTTTTTTGAGATTTACAATTAAATTTAACCTTTATTTTTAAAACATTTTGTTATAAAAGGTTAATTTCTGAAGACTTACGAGCATCAGATAACCTAACCAAAAATTCTTAGCGCATATTTGTATTCTGTGTCTGGAGGGTTAATCCGCCAATTCAACTTGGTATGTATGGAAAGTAGTTAATATATAGAGTGGTTAATTTATAGAATATTAACAACATCACAAACAAGGTGGCGTATTGTTGGAATGACCGACGTATAGTCTCGGATTAATCCCAAGTAAAGTGAGCGTGATGCGGATCAAGTGTTGGGTGCGTGTCAGGTACATTGTGCGTATGTTGAGCGTGGTGCACGTAAGGTACGTGGTGCGTATAGTGTGCGTGGTGCATATAGTGAACGTGGTGCGTATGGTAGGCGTGGTGCATGTCGAGTACGTAGTGCGTATGGTGAGAGTGGCTCGTTTAATAAGCGGGGTGAGTATAACTAAGTTTTTTAACTAATTTTTAATTTTGTATGAAAAGGGTGCGTATTATGAGCGTGATGTGTACGGTGAGCGCAGTGCGTATGGTGAGCTACATGCGTATGGTGAGCGTGGTGCATATGGTGAGCGTAATATGTATAGTGTGCGTTATGGAATAGGTGCGGATGGTAATCGTGGTACGTGTGGTGAGCTTGGTGCGCATGGTGCTCGTATTACCGTAATCGACTTTTGTATAGTGGCGTGGCAGGGAAGCCGACGCCGACGGCGGCGACACCGCGCGCCGTGAGACGCTCCAGAGTGGCTGATATGTTGCTCAATGTAAACACCATCATCGGCACCACCGGCGAGTCTTCATGCCCGTATGTCACCACGCCCATCTCGCGCAGCCTGCAACGTACATATCACACCCTTACAACCTATTAATTTATTCCTACAGTTTAGTTACTTAGTAACTTATTCCTACAATTTAATACTACTTCGAAGCGTACCAGACACACATCTCTTTTTCATGTTCCGTTAAGTCGCTCTAAATATGCTCAAATTTCTGTCATCAGTCAGTAAAACAGACAGTAAAACTTCTATAAAAAAGAAACATAAAGTAATAAATAGCTTAAAAAACGCATACAAACATACCATAGCTATTAACTTAATGCATATGAAAGTATATAATATGTCATATATAATTTCAAAAAAAAAAACAATTTTGGCCCATCTGTCTGTCTGACTATTTGTGACAACTAATCTTCAAAATAGCGGGACGGATTTGGATAGGGCTTTAACTTAGGCTTTAAGGATTAACTTAGGCTACATTTATTTTAGAAAAAACTTTTAGTTTTGCGCAAAAAGTTAATATTCTTGAAGTCTAATCATAAAAAATTTGATGTGGACGAAGTCGCGGGAAACAGTAAGTCAAATAAAAATGTTAAAAGTCAATGTTTTACAAAATTATCATTAATTATAATAAATTAGAAAAACATTTTTAATTATTTAATTATTATAAAATACATTGAATAACATATTTATTTTAAATTAACTACATTGAAATGGATAATCCAAACTTTAAATATCCTAAAAGTAAAATAATTAATATGACAGTTAAAATTATGTAAGCATACTCTATATAGTTTATATAAGTCCTGCCCGTGATCATGAGTCCTGTAAAGCGTTCGAAACGTCGGGTAATTAAAAAGTTAAATATACGCGATAAATTCCGTAAAAACTAGTATTATTTCAATAAATAAATGATTAGGCGAAACTATAGGGATACCGGTGCATATTAGGGACATAGTGCAAGGAGATTGAGTTCTAAAAGTAAAAATTCCTTTTAAATTTTATTTAACTTAATTATTACAATAATTTATTTAATTACCTTAAAAATTGAAGTATCCCATCAATGTACAACTATTGAGAGGAGAGTTAAATAAAGGGAAGCGCCTTTAAAAAAATTAACGATTTGAATTATGCGCTGTTCTCATTGGCGTTAATTTATGTAAAAAAAGGTCTAACTTCGCTTCGCAATAAAATAAATATTTCTAAATGCTATTATTGGAGCGATGCAACAATTTGACGGATCCTTGGTATACTAATGCAAGTACAAAAACACAACTTTACAGGAGAGCTCTTTAAAGATTCTAAAACTTCGTATTAACTACTCTAAAAACTTATCTTTATGCAGATGACTTAAATTAATGATGATTGTGACGTATATGAAATCTGGTTTAAATAGGTTGTCACACTGGAGTAAAAAATGTTTTTTAAAGTTTGACAAAACCACAACTTTATAAGTCTAGTTGTTTGGAGGGTGGGTTCAAAGTCAGAAGTAGATGATACCTTAAACCATTTAGCACATAAATAGCTAAACTTGTCGCTGACAAATTCTGCTCCTTTTTTGAATTGAATTTCTAAATTTTTTTAGAAATAAAATTCTTTTTTTTATTTATGTAATTTCTGATTACAACATTGTAGTACAATGATTGGTAACAAAATAGTGTTCAAGCATCTTCATCATCATAAAAACATTCTACGTATATTTAGGTTTAGTGTCCCAAAAAAAAAAAAAAAGATAATTTTGATTTTATGCGATCATAAAAAAACAAATAAAATAGCCTTTGTTGTTCAATTGTTTTTAAAATCATGTTTAGTTATTGCCCTTTCTTTTAAGGTATTACTTATGCAGATACATCATCAACTCTTGATATTTGGGTTTACAAAGCAAATTGCGGATGAATATTTTTATATTTATACGGACAAACAAAGTAACATTTTTTGTTAAAATAATTAATTTTTTGTGTTCAAAATGTTGACCGTGATTTCTGATGCAAACGCGGACTCGTCTTTTCAATTCTGTGGTTTATTCTTACTTCAAGAATTCTTTCGAATGTCCTAATTGGTCTTGCGTCAGCGTGCCGAGACCTAAGAGACCTATGAGAGTAAAAAGACTGTGCATCTCAGTAAACGGCAAGTTTTGAAATGGCGCCGTTGCGATGACGGCGCGGCGGCATTGCGTCATCGCGCGGTGGGCATCGCAAGAGCTATTAGGACACCTGTTGGATCCATTGCACGATCTTTTCATCGTGCGATAAAATCGCTTCGTTAAGTCGTGCGATCTATAGCCAATTAGGACGATGCCTTAGGATTTATTATATGAAAAGATAAAAAATTTCGTAGTTATCAAACAAAAAAAAATACAAAAAATTTTTTAGCTCAATCGGTTGAGAGTAACTGCTTTAAAATTTATTTTCAAGATTTGACCCTTTGAATGCATCTTTTTAAAGATACATTTAAAGTAAAATAAAAGTATTGAAAAAATAATATGATGCAAACGGAAAAATCACTATCTATAGACTTCTGAAAGCTCATCAGCAGGTAATACTTTTCTCCGACTACCTCCGTACTATCCAGATCTAAACTCGATTGAACTCTTGTGGTCAAATGTTTAAATAAGCTGACAAGAAATCACACAAATCCATTGAACGAAAAAAATTACAACACTGAGTAATATACTTATTACTGTATTTTTGGGATATTTTCTGAATTCTCTGCCATACTTAACACACAACTGCATTGTGATGACTATGCCCAAAAAATTTAATACTAGAATCATGATATCACGTTTGATAGTATGATAGATAAAATCATTGCAAACTTGCAAGATGATTCAGAATGATCCAGAAATTCCAGAATCAAGTAACATTAATAATATGTCTGAATGATTTCATATGTGCTCTTTTTGATGTAATGGGAGTAGGCTCGTTCTTATGACTAAAATTATCAACGTAACGTAGGTGTTTCCACGCGATATAAACACGCTTATTCTTGTGCTACATATCATCATAATTTGTTACCTGAATCAAATTTATTATAATTACAAAATACTAATTGTAAAAAAAGTTGATTGTTCGTTCATTATTCACTTGCATCGTTCACTTACTAATTGTGATATGTGTCTATTCTTATTTTAGTTGAAGTGCAATATCTCTAGATAAATCTGGACGTTGAATAATCTCATATGCGATTCGTTCATTAAGCAATCCCGACTTCACCCCTGTCGTCGCCTAAGGCGCGGCCAACAAGTTCCGCGTGGACTATAATATTTACTTAATTACTTTTTATAGTCACGGTACTACTGTTTTGTGATTGCAGTACAAATAAGTTAAATTGACTAGGGAAAGACCTTGTAACCGCGTGAAATATCAGAATAATAATGTTGTATTAATTGTAGTGAATTATGAAGATCGGATATCCCTTTTACTCTTTTTTACTAATATGCCATTTTATCTTAGTCCAAAGCTAACAGCGTATCTGCATTTGATTTTTAATGAAAAATGAATGTGTCTTTGTGTAAAAAGTGCCTGTCAGCACATGGCGTGCGCCGTGCATCTAGCTGTAGCGGAAGTAGAGCGTGTTGACGAGCACGTGTACCTGCGGTGGAAGTAGTGCGTGTTGTCGCACAAGTGTACCTGCGGCGGAAGTAGTGCGTGTTGTCACGCAACGTGCGCACGCGACGCAGGCCTTGCGGCGTACACAGCGCGCGCATAGCGGCGAGCACCTGCGCAGCCATTGGCGGCGACATTGCGTGTGCGTACGTGTGCGCGTGCCCGTGCGCACGGATCCACCTGATCAGCTTCGCTGAACCTACGACACATGATCATTGCAAATATAATGTAAATATAAGATGTCTTTCCTAGTTTTAACAGCACCTCCCGCCCTCCTTTAACTTTCATCTATCATCAATCATCATCTCCATCACAACTAATCCCAACACCACTGCTCCCTACACCTTTACACTAGGAAAAACTATTATTATCATAGATTACTATCGCTTATTATAACTAACATACACTTAGCTGCAGCACTGACCGCCCATTTCCCGCATGGAACAGATATTTGAGCAGGATGAAAATAATTATTCCGAATTAGATTGCCTATCCATATACAATTTATGTTTGTTAAACACCTAAATGAATCCGAAAAATCTTATTCTAGAGGTAATCAAAAAGAGATATCAAAGTTTCGGGAGTAGTCAACCACCATCACCATGTAGGTTATTACGAATCTAAAAATGTATGAAGTTTGTTTTATTTACGTTAAAATTCAAAACGTTTGTCCTTAGCTAGCTCGTTTAAACCGTTTTATGCTCCATCACTGGCCTCACTTTTAGTCTCATTAAAACATCAGAACTATCTCATCCGTACATGTGACAATTTAACCATTTGTAAGTTCCATCTAACATTTTACGTTTGTATCATTTAGGAAAAGAGTGGGAGCTAAGATGTATTTTACGGGAAGTCATTTGTTACCCTTAAATCAAAGCACATTATCCTGACATGTCGATGGATTTATATCTCTCTGAAACAAAATTAATTAATATTCAAAACGATTTAAAAGGTGGTAAATACCACCCATACCAATTCTATGCAATTTTTCAGAAGAATGGGATGGAGACAGTATCGAAGGATTTAGACAGGTATAAAAAGAGACCGACCCACTAATTACCTTCATTCAGTTTATCGGTAACAAAATCAGTTACATGTTATAATGCGCCAGTCGTTGATTTGCCACGTTGAATGTTTGAATTTTTTAAAGACAATCTACTTTAGAACCACTGATCGCAGCCCTCAACTCCCAACCCAAATCATTGCACCATAGAGCCGTAAATATCCGTTTGGAATACAAGATACGTTAAAATTTTAATAAATTCGAATGCCATTGGTATTTAGTTTTGAATCATATAAGAAAGATTCTAAGAACTATTAAGAATATATTAAGAAATATTAAATGTAACATTTATAAAAAACTATAAAGTTCTGCATAAATTTGTAGGTCATCATACCAATGATATAAATAAACAATATTGTATTTAATGGAATTAATTAAAACAGATAAGATTAACTGTGAAACTTTTTATGAGGCATTCAATCTTAGTTCTCGGGGGTGATGAAGCATCTTCATTGTGATTCTTAATTAAGGGTAGATGTAGTTGTCTAATGGCCACAGCATTCACTTACCATTGAGCGGATTGTGTGTTCGTTTGACATCCTTAGTCTATGAAATAAAAACAATTGGGACAACGTTACATTCATTGATGAAATATGGATCAACGCCAACCAAACTGAGCCGCAAGCATGGACAGACGATATGTCTCCGTGTGGAATGGTGGGTGTCTCATAATTTACCACGTGAGATAAGCCGGAGAAGAATTTGTGAAAAATACAACAATTGATCACTGGGCCAAAGTGATAGAGAAAACAAAGAAAATTAATAATAATTTTCTTTGTTTTTCGTTTTGAATGCATTATAGGAAACGAAATTATAGTTAATAGTAAACGATAATGATAACGGCGCCAGCTCAACATGTTGTAGTTTAAGTAATTAAATATATTTTAATGATTTCTTATATTTACGCAAACACTACACATTGATCAAAACTACTTTTACGTATTTTATCGCCTCTTATTTATTTTATTTTTAATAATCGACGTTTCGGGTGCTTTCCAGCACCCATGGTCACGGCGGACTGAGGTGACTGACGTCCTGATGTCAAAGTTAACCCGGAGTACCCAGAGTACGGAGTAGTAGTAAAAAGCTGAAGGTCCCCCGTGACCATGGATGCTCCCGAAATGTCGGGTTTTAAAAATAAAATAAATAAAACGCGATAAAATCCGTAAAAGTAGTTTTAATCAATAAATACTTTTTTAATCTAGTGAAATCCATAGTTTATTATTTTTTTATTATATAAGTTTTATTATATGACGTAATCTCTAGAAATTAGCGGTCAGCAATAAATATAAAAAAAAACTAATTAATGTTGTATGTAACTCTAGATAAAACTATAAATGATTACCAACTGCAAAAATTCGATGTTGATATCTTTTACGAAATGAATTTTGTAGGCATCGATTTTTCAGTTGAACTGCCTAGTTTAATAAATGTTACAGCTGTTGAAAGGTATTTCCTAGATTTGGTGTAGTAATATATGTGTAACTTATAGGCTAATAAATAAGTTAAATTAAGTTATATTTGCCAGCCAAGCATGGTGACAACGAGAAAATTCTTCTACTATATGAGAGATCAAAAAACAGCATTGGTTTTATAGTATTGCATGATTTGCAGCACTGAGTGTTTTTTTATTTCTTTTAGCTTGTAGAAGTAGGGTACTTAAATGTGACTCACCAGCAATGTAACCACCGGCAGCGCCGAAACTTTTGGTGAAGGTGCCCATGAGTACGTCTATGTCGGTGGGGTCGACTCCACAGTAGTCGGTGACTCCACGCGCGCGAGCTCCCAGTGCACCCACTGAGTGGGCCTCGTCTAGGTACAGCTGCAAGCCAAGCCGCTTCTTCAGCGCAACCACGCCCTGCAGTGGCACGATCGAGCCCTCCATGCTGTACACACCTTCCAACACCTGCAGCACACCAGGGTTCCCCTCTGTAGTCATTGCTCCGAGTCAGTTTACAGTTTATGCTGTTACAGTTTAAACAATATTTTTAAGTGAAAACTTCTTTACAATAGTTGTTATTTGAAATTCTACAAAACCAAAAGGAGACAAACCTAGACATGTATAGGGTTTGCCCTGCGAGAGAAAGTATAATACAGTGTTCCCTATTATCTCATTCTCCTCTTTGTGCTGTGCTTGTTAACACGACTTTTATAAAAACATAAAAAATTATGAAATGAATAAAATTAACCATATCGAATATATATAATTTTGTAAAACATAATAATACAGGGGTCTAGGCTCCGAATATATTTTTGTCCCTTTCGGTGTCGAGACCCTTGGTCCGTGGGGTCCTAGCGCTATAAGCCTTTTTAAGGAAATAGCAAGAAGGTTAATCGACGTCACAGGAGACCGAAGAGCTGGCAGTTACCTCGGACAAAGAATTAGTTTGGCTATTCAACGAGGAAACGCTGCCAGTATCTTCGGAACCTTGCCTAAAGGACTTCCTTTTTAACAATTTAATTTAGTTATTATAATATATATTTTTAAGGTTTTTAGTATTAGAATTAAATTTTTTTTTGAATTATTCAAATAGTTTAAAGATTAAAGTGATATAAATTACTCTATATTCATAAATACTAAACCTCACTTTGTAAAACACTATTTTCCTTTAAATTTTTATTATGTTAATTAGAGGTGTTTATATTTTAATTTCATTTATAAATTGTATTTATTTACATTTAATTTTACATAAGATCACATTTGAGATTGTTTTATTAATTAATTTATTGGTTGTGTGAATAGTGTTACGGCCCATATTGAATAAAGTTATCATGTCCAATCCACTCATAACAATCATCAATTTCGTGACTTACCGATTGATATACATATTTAGGCCATCAAGTGTCATTATGGCAGAACAAAAATAAAAAATATGGTGTATTTATATCAGGTACAAAATTTTGGTGTCCACGACATGAAGCAGCGTCAATAATAAAATATTTTTTAAACTACACTTTTATAACAATTCCATCCATTTCAGGCTATAAAAGTTCACAGCTGTACATAGGCTTCCCCAATATATATTACTTCATAGGGTGAATCTTCCCGTAGTTGCTACGCTAGGTAGGCGAGTTAGCAAACGCAGTTGTTTTATAATATTGAGTTATTCTCAGGAAACTTCTGCTGGGCATCTCCATTCTAACATTACGACTACGTGGTTAACAATGTAAAAAATATCTTATTTTTTAAAAAAAAGCTTCCAAAACATTGATCTTGTATTTTAGGCGAGTGAGTTTTTGTGTTAACATTTGCAGTGTAGTAGTGACATTCACAATTTGAGGCAGAAAATTTTCTATAAATGTGAAATGTGAGGCATGCGACGGGCTGTGGGTGGATTTCCGCAAGTACTTACCATTCGCAAGATGTGGCAGATCATATTTTAAAATGCATATGAAATGTGCCGGTAGTATTTGTCAGTTCATCGGGCATATGGCGGATGGCAAATTAAAAATACTCACGATGACGATCTTAGTCCAGCGACGCTCAGCGATGGCGGCGCGTGCGATGCGCTCGAGGTGAGCTAGGTCATTGTGGCGGAACACACGCACGGTTGCGCGCGCCTGCCGTAGCCCAAGTATCAGCGATGCGTGGTTGTTCTCGTCACTCAGTGCCAGTGTGCCTGGCCCCAGCAGCCCCGGTAGCCCCAGCGAGTTCGTCGCAAACCCCATGCCGAATACTATCGTCGCCTGCACACGTACGCCGACCACACACTCATATGAATTAAAATAACCCCTGAGAATGAGGTAACCGCCACCATGCTGATTCTATTAAAACTTATATAAAAGTTGTACAAAATTAATGTAATTGCTCGCAGGTTCTTCCCAGGATAGAGGTATTATCTGAACCAGCAGTAAATGAAATAACACTATTGTGTAATTTCCCGCATAGTAAATGGGGCGCATAATAACACTCTATTGTGAAGAGTCAAAATGTGTCAAAAATGGCACGTATGGCAATTCACAGTGCTGTGTTGGTCCCTACTTTAACGTATGGTAGTGAAAGTTGGGTGTGGCAGAAGAAGCACGAGAGTAGAATCAACGCAGTAGAAATGCGGGCGGGAGTATGTTAGGGCTGAATCTGAACGACAGGGTAAGAAATTGTGTAATAAGAGAAGAGTGTGTTTTGCAAGATGATGTTGTGACCAGGATTAATAAAGGAATGCTTCGGTGGTTTGGTCAGCGACAAAGAAAATTTATGCTGCAGAATTGAATGGCAGAGTCGGAAAGTGACGTCCTAGGCGAAAATGTATCGACCAAATTGGCGATTTATTGAAAACGGGCCAAGTTAGGAGTACCCTTAACCGACGAGCATGTATGCGTAGGTGTATGGAGGCGAGAGAGGTGTGTCAGGATCATGCCAAATGGAAGTATGTAGTCTCTGCCTACCCCTCTGGGTGACAGGCGTGAGTGTTTATGTTTATGTATGTACTATTGTGTAAACATTTACACAAATGTGTACATACATGTGTACAAATTTTAAATGTGCACATTACACAAAACATTCTTCTATTTTATATTTTCTATGAGCAGGTTAATTAAGGCTTACGCAAAAAAAAGTAACAAGAAAGACGTGACCTTTTCTAAATACCGTATTGTTTTTGTCCTCTACGTTGATAAAACAGTCTCACTTCAAAAATGACTTTCAATAGCTGTAATGTATCAATCTATATTCAATAAAATTACTAGTATTCTCTCGTATAACACGTTTCAAAAATATACACGAACACGACAAACGCGATCAGACAAATGAGAATCTGAGCATTTTTAAAGAATAAAGAAGACAAATGAGCACTTAACCTAATTTGCTGTGGCTAATACACATCTACATCTGTGCTCGATTGTAAACAAAAATGCATATGCATTGTCAACCGTGAAGACCAAGATAGAATGTTCTAGTTTCCATTGAAAAGAGTCACTGGTTCTCCTACACTCAACATACGAAACAGCATTGTTAAGCTACTATTTTTTGTTAGAGCGTGGTTTTTCAGCGAGCCGGCCCATTTTTGCTTTTTTATAGGATAAGTGTTACCAGCACATATGAATACCCAGTCATATGGCGAGTGTAAAGGAACCTTTTCACTAATCAGGAAATATTATTTCATAGTCCTGAGACATGTTGCATATTTCGTTTTGATTCTTTTACGATATAAGATGCTTATTGGCCAGTGTTAATTTACCATCAGACGCACTATATGTTGGTTTGTTACCCTTACTTCTGTAAAAAGAAGTTGGACGTCATGGGATACCCGACAAATGTGAAATATCTTATTTGATGGTAGAACAGAAATATGGAGTAAAATATAGATTGAAATTGAATAATATCATATTATTTATAAAAAATACATAGTGTGTATACGGTGAACGCGTTAGGTACACTAGAGTTGAATAAAAAGACACACGCAGTACACAACTCACTTCCTACGCGGGCCCCGTCCTACGCGGGCCCCGTCTTTGCCCACGCAAACCCTAATATTTTAAATGAACTCCAAATAGTACAGAACCTCTTCTGTCGTCGAGCTGCGAATGCACCTTGGTACGTCCGTAATGCCGACCTTCATCGGGACTTAGAGCTCCCAACTATTCAACAATTTTTTAAAAAACTCTCTGAGAACTTCTTCAAAGCTTCAGAGTCGCACCCAAACCATTTAATTCGTGAGGCAGCTTCTTATGCAGCCCCACCCCCCTCTCGCTATCGTGTCCGCAGGCCGAGAAACTCTCTCTCTCGGACCCGCCTAATAAACTTTCAAACGACCTGAACTGTCTCTTGGCGGCTCAGGCCAACTCTAATTAAATAAAATTATTGTAATAACTAACATTAATTTGCCTTCGTAGGCACTCCCTCAGCGGCACTTAGCCGGCTTAGCCCTCTTTTTCCGAAAAGAGGGTCGCTCATGATAAGGCACAATAGAGCTTAATCAGCCGGTTGCCTGTCCCCAAAGGCGGTTTTTAGAGGGTATCACTTAGGGTCCCCGGTACGACAGTGAGCCCCTCATAACCACGATAGACCGGCTATCGTGGTATGCGTAACGCATTTTCCGCCTCCCTACTTATAGGGTAGCCCTTTAATTGCTTCGGGCGCAAAAAAAAAAACACAACTCACACAATGGAGCAACGAGGTGTGTATTATCGTACACTCACACAAAGAAGCAACGAGGTATGTAGTATACGTACGCTCACACAAAGGAGTCGAGAACGGTGCCGTGTAGGGGGCATAACGGCATAAGGTAGTATCACGAAGACATAAGAATCAGTTTAACAGTCAAGGCGCACCAACGGGTGTTTCAAATCAAAAATGATATTTAAATGCCTTTTTGAGAATAACGCAAAGTTTTTTTTTTTTGTTAAAGTTCTCCTCCTTTTTTGTCAAAGTTAGTAAATTATGAAACTCTCTTTTCTCTTCCTTTAACAACTAAAAAGTTTAAAGCATTGTGTTTCAAAAAAATTATAAAAATTACTATTTATAATGTGTTCTGCCTAATATTTTTATTATCTTCTGTACGTATACAATATGTAATGTAATTAACGCACACCCACAGACACCCCAATTAGTATATTATGTTATAATCATAATACATTACCTATATTAAAAATGATAGGAATCGATACAGTAAACGATTCTGAACAAACTTCTTCCAGGATGTGCGTTAATTATGTTACATGTTGTATATATTTAGACATACGTAAACGTAAACGTATAGTATACATATGTATCTATTCGTTTATATATATATATATATATATATATATATATATATATATATATATATATATATATACAAACACCACATTACTATATGTAGTATGTATTTTTATTATATGTGTGCGATAGAGGATGTTTATTCATTCTTCTATTTTAGTTTAAAGCCTTAGAAGTAATGATATGGCAATAAATGTTGTCACCTCGACGCCAAGAAAACGTGCGGTAGTTTCCTCCAGCTCCTTGTGCAGCAAGCAGGAGCCGAGCTCGGCGCGCGGAGAGGCAAGCGCTAGTCCGTAACGCCGTGAAGCCACGGCCGCAGCATCCGCGCGTGGCCCCGTCGGCTCTGCGAAGCCCAGGTAATTGTACGATCCCAGGTTGATGCAGCGCCGCGTCCTGTCTGTGAACCTGTTATGCCATTAATTCTAAACATTTACAATGAAATTTCCCGCGCAAGGATTTCTACGTATGCTAATAGACCGACAGTTTATAACAAAAAATGTGTCACAAGTGTGATCCGTACGGGCGTGGGCTGACATTTTTTTATAGGATAGGATGACAAAGGAGCACACAATCCACCTGATGGGAAGTGTTTTCTGTGGCCCATAGATATCTACATCTATCCTCGATTACGAATCAAAACGCAGTTGCGTTGTCATCCGTGAGGACTTAGGTGGAATGCCTCTACACTCACCATACAAAACACAGCAGCATTAAGCTACTATTTGACGCTGGTCTTCTGTGAGAGCGTGGTCCTTACCCGGTTGATCCGACCCATTCGTACTACAACTGTACTACTAATATAACTGCAGCACGGCTCTCCCACGTAACAAATAAATATGCTCTGAAATAAACTGCAAATTACATAGACAAAGTGCGCACATAAATATTAACAGCGTTTTCTGTCACATTAAACAAAATCAGTGTTATATTGCCGAAAAAACAATTCGCGGCTTACAAAACCTACAAACTACGAACGTAGAATTGACCGTACTTTAGTACGCAACGTATTATGACGTAGTGCCCGTCTAGTCGCATACATATAAAAATTTGGTTCATTTAATCAAAAGATATATGTACTTAAATGTCCAGTTGTAGTCATCTGTGTAGCGCTCGTTGATTGTGACTTCGGCTGCAGGCGTGGAGCAGATGGGCTGGTTGAAGCAGTGCCGCACGCGCCTGTACACGTAGCGCGAGTACAACTGCTCGAATGAGTTGTACAGTGGCGCGTAACCCTGCAACGTTTAATAACAATTACTTTAATTCATAAACCATAAGAATACGATAGTTCATAAATTTGAAACATTTATCTGAATTATATGAGCAGTTCGTGGGCTTGATAAAGTTTATTTCAAAAACATTGACACAGCTTTATTATAAAATATCGAAAATCGTTTAACATCAAGAACAAATCACTGGTGCATAGTTTTCATACGTATTATAATAATAAAATTATTCTTAATTTAAAAAAAATACATTGTGTTTTTATATATGACAAAAACTTGAAACTTATTTAGTTATTTATGTTGAAGCTAAGTTGAAAGTCAGTAGTCTTAGTTAATCATCCTCCAATGAAAACGCAGTTAAAAATATTAACGCAGTAGTTTCATTAAGTTGGTTATGAAGAAAAATAGTCTAATTTAAAACAATGCACGATTTCCTTGTATTCATGAAAGATTTTATTACTTTTGTTATATCTAATATTTCATTTGGATTTAGACTTCCAGACATCGGACTTGGTTTGGTATTCATGGAAATGGACAAGAACTGGACTAACTTTGTTATTATTATTATGAAAGCCCAGCCGATGACACCGTTTTAATGCGGACCGGTCAACATTTGTAAGTCCTATTTTGTTTTGTATAAGGCCAAGAACTTCATTTACTAAATTTACTTCAAGGTTCTCAGCAATAATTTATAAACAGTAACATTAAACAGTAACACCTTTCGCCGTTGTCTCATGTCCGTTTCGTCGATAGAATTGACACGTCTAGTAATCTGCTATTGTAACAAGCTTAGGATATTACTCACTAGTTCCTTAAAAGCCTGGAATTTGTGACTAAGTTGTAACAGTGTTGGAGTGGATGGTACCATAGCAGCTTGTAACCGTTCCTCAAACTCCGCCATCCTTTGTGATAAGCCAACTTCCAGTTCTCTTTGAATATTATTGACATGGGTGACATTCGCCATAGTGATCTTTGCTGTGTTAAATCCAATAACGAAATTACACTGATTTCACTTATAAGATTTGCTAACCTAACAGATGATGTAAGTAATTTCTTAAGAAAAATACTTCATAAATGCACAAGTATGAATAAATCTTGCAAACAATTATAAATAAACTGATTAAAGTAGAAAATAATATTTAATGTAACAAATATTAATTATAATTTCGTAAAATAATTTGGAGCTCGCAAGGGCAGATGTTACTTTTTTTACACCTACCTTCGAAAAAAACATATGGAAATACAGTGAATATTTTCCTTGAAATGGGTTGAAGATCATTTAAAATACAGAAAAGAACAAGCTAAATTCTAAAGTCACGCCTCTGTTTAGTAGTGAGCCACTTAAGGCGAGAGTGATAGAGAGAGATATGATTTTGATCATATTTACGAAAACTGAAAATGTTTGTTTAGTAGTGAGCCATTTAAGGCAAGAGTGATAGAGAGAGATATGAATTTGATCATATTTACGAAAACTGAAAATGTATCTGATGCAGTTGTTAAGAAGGCGTTCTGGTTTGTTAAAAATTGTTTAAAATCCGGGTAACATTTGTCTGCATAATCAATGATCGGTAGAACAAATAATTATTCTAGCATAATTCTAGTCTTAAAGGGAAGATCATTTTAAAGCAATAAAGAGAACGTAAAGCATCAGAGACTTTATGACATTTTCAGATATATCAACCCCCTCAAAATACTATCAATCTAGAGACTAAGGTTTTTAACTGAAGAAGAGAGCGGTATCAAGCGATCATTGTAATAAACGGAAGGTTGCCTCGCGGTATCAATTCTTGCAAGCATCCTTGAGCTACTTATTTGCTTTGCGTTTTTATGAATACCACTGCTACAAATTTGCGAGTAAGTTTAGAAGATGGCAGTTTGTACATTGGCAGTATAGAGTCCTTGATGTTTTTCCTTGTGAAAGGTATGTATATAAACTGCCACTATGATACAGGAGAAATTCAGCGTGGAAATAACGTTTTATGCTACAGTGGCTACTACAGTAATTACCTGCAGTCAATTTCAAACAAAGAAAGCTACAATTGCGTTGTCACCACAAGGGATTAATATGGAATACCTCACAGCCCGGAACACAGTAGTGCAAGCACTGCTACCTAGGGAGATTTGAACAACAATCGGCTTTCGATACAAAAATACAAATGAGTAATTTAAAATATCTCGGGAGACCTTTTGCGAGGCATTCAATCTTAGTCTTCAGGGGTGATAACGCATCTTCATTGTGATACTTATACTTATTTTAGGATAGATGTAGGTGTCTATGGGCCACAGCATACCCTTACAATTATATGTAATTTGTGTGCTTGCTTGTCAATCTAAATTTTTATTGAAATATTTTCATGCGATTTAGACATTAGTAAATATTTTTAAAATTTCTGTATGTCTGTCTGTCCGGGATAATCTATAGTATAACTGAATCGATTTTAATTAAAAATAAAACAATGCAAGGTGAGATTTTTGTTCCAAAAATTTGAAATTTGTTTTTGTTTATTTTGACTCCAAATAATGCCACATTAATAGATCTTACTTAAGCGTATCCGTTTTAACTAAAATTAAATGCAAAAAAAATTATATATTATGGTAAGTCATCATCATCATTACAGCCCTTCACAAGTCCACTGCTGAACATAGGCCTCCCCCAAGTAATGCCACAAAGCACGGTCCTGAGCCACCTGCATCCATCGACTTCCTGCATGTCTTACCAGGTCGTCACTCCATCTAGTGGGGGGTCGCCCTACACTACGCCTACCGGTACGAGGCTGCCACTCGAGAACCTTTCTTCCCCATCGGTTATCGGTTCTTCGAGCTATATGGCCGGCCCATTGCCACTTCAGCTTACTAATCCGTTAGGCTATGTCGATCACTCTGGTTTTACTGCGGATATCCTCATTTCTGAGTCTATCACGCAGAGAAACTCCAAGCATAGCCCTCTCCATAGCTCGCTGAGCGACCTTAAGCGTCCTCATACGGCCAGCAGTGAAGGACCACGTCTCAGATCCGTAAGTCATCACTGGCAACACGCACTGGTTGTACAATCTAGTTTTTAGAGATTGAGGTATACCTGACGAGAAGATATGTCGTAATTTCCCGAACGCTGCCCAGCCGAGTTGAATCCGTCGATTGGCCTCTCGGTCGAAGTTGGACTTACCTAGTCGGACTATTTGTCCCAGGTAAACGTACTCGTCAACAACTTCGAGCATAGTGCTCCCAACAACTACCGGCATAGGTGTGACATGGACATTAAACATGATCTTTGTTTTGTCCATGTTCATCTTAAGACCTATCCGTTGGGAGGCACTATTGAGGTCATTGAGCATAATGCTTAAGTCCTCCAGCGATTCTGCCATAATGACTATATCGTCGGCAAATCGAAGGTGAGTGATGTACTCGCCATTGATGTTAATACCGTATCCTTTCCAGTCCAGTAGCTTGAAAACGTCTTCCAACGCAGCGGTGAAGAGTTTCGGGGATATAACATCACCCTGTCTTACACCTCTCTGCAGTTGGATAGGTTTCGAACTCTGGTTCTGTACTCGGATAGCCATCGTAGCCCTACTGTACAAACACTTCAGCACTTCGATGTACCGACAGTCAACTTGGCACCGCTGAAGGGACTGTAGCACCGCCCAAATTTCGACGGAATCAAAGGCTTTCTCATAGTCCACATACGCCAGGCAAAGTGGCAGATTGTACTCTTCAGTCTTCTGTACAATCTGCCGTAAGGTATGTATGTGGTCTATGGTACTGAAGCCTTTTCGGAAACCGGCTTGTTCGGGAGGCTGGAAGTCGTCGAGTCTGCGTGCGAGACGATTCGTAATGACTCTCGAAAATAGCATGTAGACGCGGCTCAGAAGGGAAATCGGTCTGTATTTCTTCAAGAGAGCGTTGTCGCCTTTCTTAAAGAACAAAACCACCGCGCTTCTGCTCCACGCCTCCGGAGTAGTGCCACCATGGAGGACGGAATTGAAGAGCTTCCGAAGGACTTCAAGTACCGGTTTTCCACCCGCTTTCAGAAGCTCCGCTGTAATTCCATCCTCGCCCGGGGCCTTGCCGTTTTTAAGGTGGTGGAGAGCCATTCTAATCTCGCTCAGACTGACGTCCGGGATATCATCGGAATAGTGTCGGATAAGACTTGCTCTTGGATCGTTACTCACACTTACGTGTGGCTCCAACGATGATGTGTACAGCTGCCCATAGAACCTCTCAATCTCACTCAAAATCTCAGGTGTCCCGGAAACGATGTTGCCACACTCAGTCTTCAGCTTTGACAGTTGGCTCTTTCTGGCAGACAGATCTCTGGCAAAGACTTTGGAGCCGTGGTTCCGCTCGATCGCTTCTTTAATACGAGAAGTTTAAAGTTGCGTAAGTCTCGCCGCATGCATTTGGAGATCTGTCTGTTCAGTTGCCTGTATGCTGTCAAATCTGTTGACGATTGCAGTCTCATCTCCCGTCTAACAGCCATGAGATTAAGAGTGTGATCGGAGAGTTTTTGTGTTCTTCTGCGGCGGGTCTTGCAGAACTTAGCTCCGACCGCATGGACAGTTTCCACGAGCTTGTCGTTCATGTCGTCCACTGCATTGCAATCTTCTAGGCACTGGAAGCGGTTACGTAACTCGAGCTGAAATGTTTCGGGATTCTGGATTAGAGCACGAGGGGGACGGAACGTTGACTTCATTAGACGAGACCTCTCCAACTTAACGTTTAGGTTCAGTGTGCCTCTAACCATTCGGTGATCGCTGCCAGTTTTCACCCTTGCGATCACTGAGACATCACTGAACAGTTGGCGTCTGGTCGTCATAATGAAGTCAATCTCATTTTTTGTCGAACCGTCGGGGCTCGACCAGGTCCACTTCCTGTGGGGCCGCTTCTGGAAGAAAGAGTTCATCATAAAGAGTCCCTCTTTCTCCATAAAGTCGGCCAACTGCTGGCCCCTTCGGTTCCGTTGCCCTACTCCAAATTTCCCTACCTTCAGCTCACCGCTTTCTCTTGTGCCT